AACCGGGGCCCTCTGGCTTCTCAAGCCAGTTCCTAACCATTGCGCCACTCGGCAACACTTATTTTCTTGACTTGACTATTGTGTAGAAAAGGTTGGCCGCTTGGATCTTTTATCATTTGTTTAATTTACTTCAAAGTGTTTATTGAATGTTTACATGTGCCCTGGCACTATTCTAGGCACTGAGGATCCAGCAATGAACCAAGCAAAAAAATCCCTACCCTCGTGGTTTTGTTAAGGACATTAGACACCATCAAGTTGAACTTCCTCATTTTATAGATAAACAAACTGAGGCCCCAAAAGGTACTTGAATTAACCCAGAGTCTCATAATTAAATTAGTTAGTAGCAAAATTTAGGTACTAGAAGAAGTGCAAAGAGAAGAAAAACATGGTTTTTGTTTCAAGGCTCTTACTGTATAGACAGGGAGAGAGACAAATCAATACATCATCAGGTCATTTTTATTAAATATTTTAATAGCTGTAGGAATAGAATTTCATAGAAGGACTTAGGTAGAAGAAATAAATGATTCGGGCTTTGTGGAGGTCTTGACTGGTTGTGCTGAACCTGAGCTGAACTTAAGGGAATAAGGTCACTTGAAGCAGAGGAAAGGAGAAAGAAATGCTAGTTAGCAAAGGAAAGGAGAAAGAAAGCAATCAAGTTCATTTCCGAATTGTAAGCTGCAAGCGTTTATGAGGGATAAATAATTGCAAATTGTTTGACGGGCAGCATCCAGTTTCCTTCCTCCTCTGCCATGCTTTGTGTACCACTTTTGCTTTAGTCACTAAGAATACTAGCAAATATATTCCGCAATTAATATTTTCTCAGTGATTTAGTAATGACTGTTTTTTCTTGAAGTTTTTATATGTTTGTTTTGGCTTTTTTTTATAGGTATATGGTGTTAATTAAAAATATTTTATAGTTTATCCCTCATTTGTGTCCTTCTTTTCAAATCACTAAATGTGATTTAGTTATTACACATATATAGTACATTTAGTTCAATGTGCTAAATTTTGACAGAAGTACTTTAAAAAACATTGAGTTTTGTAAGAAAACAGGACTTAGTAAATTATGAATGCTTGATACATTTTTTTTTATGAAGTTGAATTTGTATTGGTAGGTGTTATCTACATCTACTGGCCTAACAAAAACGGTGTATAATCCAGCTGCTTTGAAAGCTGCACAAAAAACCTTACTTGTTTCCACCTCTGCAGTTGATAATACTGAAGCACAGAAAAAGAAACAGGTAAGTACAGCTATTATTGTACAGAATTAGCATGGAGGAAAAGCTTTTCTGCATGTGTATGATTTTTCAATGCTTATTAACAGAATGGAAGTAAAGTATGTTGGCTGACACTGAACTTTTTATTTTTCATAGTGTAGAGGTAAATATTAAATTTTTTCTTGGAGTGAAAGGTTCTCCTGATCTTTGAAACTTGCATACATAAGTTTTACATAGGAAAACTTTGCATTCAGTTTTTGTTGCTAAGCTTCTGCAGTTAAAACCATTGCTGTCCTCTTAAATAATTTTGTTTATTGAAAAATAAAGTTAATATTTTAATGATATTTTGGATCCCTTTTTCTAGGAGGCACTGAAACTTCAACAGGATGTAAGGAAAAGGAAACAAGAAATTTTAGAAAAGCACATTGAAACACAGAAGGTAAAATATTAAAACTAGGTTTGGCAAAACGTATTTATAAATGTTACAATTTTGAGTGAATTGAATCTTACACTATATAGATAATCCTGAGAAACATTTATTGTAATTGACAATGGTAACACTGAAATATTATCAATGATAAGGTATATGTCAATTAATAACATATTGGGAATGAAGAGCATACGTTAAATGGCAGATTGGGAATTGGAATAGTTGAAGTGGAACTATTTTTATCAAACCTGAAATGAAAATAAGGAGTTTTTATCCAGGTATGTTGCTGCACAGTAGTTTGTTCAACAGATAGTGAAATGAAACCTTTTTCTCAATGTTGAGATAAGTACCTTTCTTTTATTGGTTTGGGATTCTCTAGCCCAGGGGTCAGCAAACTTTTAAGATGGAAGTGCCAAGCCTGTCCTCACAACAATTTAAAAATTATTCGAGAGCCATAAATATATTTTTACAAATAAGGAAAATTTAAAGTAATATTATAACAAGTAATAGTATTACTTATATCTTTATTAAAATAAGAAAAATTCACACATGAACGTACCCAAAGAGCCACATGTGGCTCGCAAACCACAGTTTGCTGACCGCTGCACTATCCTTATGTTGTCCAAAGAGTAGCTAACAGTCGCATCTGACTGTTGAGTACTTGAGATGTGCTGTAACATACCAGATTTCAGAGACTATGAAGAAAAAAGGTAAAACATCTCAATAATTTTTGTTGAAATGTAACATTTTTAATATATTGGGTTAAATAGAACATATTAAATTTTACTGTATCTTTTTTATATTTTTTAAGTGGCTGCTAGAAAATTAAAACTTGCTTATGTGATTTATAGTATTTCTTTTGTACAGTGTTGCTCCAGTTTATGACATTAAATTAGTGTAGGTTCTTTTTTTTTAAAGATTTTTATTGGGGAATTGGGGGATGGGAACAGTGCTGGGGAATTGGGGTAAGGGGAACAGACAAGTTGCTGTTGTTTTGTTCTTCAGTCTAGTTGTGGAGGACGTTGCTTCACTGGCCCAAGCTGGCACCATCATTGCGCTCTTCCTGGGCGAGGCAGATCAGTCGCCGGCTTCTGGACAGCCGCTCACGCTGGCTGCCGGCTACACGGTAGCCCATGGCAACCCACTGCAGCAGGGGCTGCAGCCTACACCGTGGCCGGCCACTCACGGCAGCCCAGCTCCAGGTTGAGCTGTTGTTCAGCATCTTAACTGTAGAGGGCAGTGTCCTCATATGTGGCCCTCATGTGGGATCCGAACCGGGTTCTCTGGCGTCCCAAGCCAGCTTTTAACCAACTGAGCCACTTGGCCGGCCCCTAGTGTAGGTTCTTGATCATGCCTGGTAATAAAGGTTATGACACTTCAAAATGTTGAAAATACAGGAACTTTTTCCATTTTTTTAAATGTATCCGTTTAAAGTGTATCTTTTATAATTTAAATTTGGTTATACACGATAAAGAGAAATCAAAAGGCTTTACACCAAAAACTGAAACCATCTTGACTCAGAACCTATAAAATGTTGTTGTGTCTTCTACCCCGTGTTTACCTTGTTTATCTTTTTTTCCTATCCACGTTGGGGATATCATTTTTAGTACTGGCCAGTTACTGATCCCTTGACAAAGAAAGTAAATGTTCTGTTTTTCTAATACCTCAGTATATGAAGGGAAAACAAAACTTTCTCTTACTTGTTCTACGTTACAGACTCCATTTGGAGCGAGAGTACTTAGAGACAGTAATATAAACAAATGGATTAGAAAGTAAAATTGTTAATGTTTTTTCAGATTGACAACTTTTCAGGGATCGAATTGAATTTCTTATGTTCTGAGAGACCCAAATACTAATACTATAGTTAGTCACAAAGTAAAGTAAGATCAAGGCTTACATTGAGATAGTTAGCATCACCAATCTGCTATCTAAGCCTTGTTATGAATACATAAAGTAGTAATTTATTTTTATATTTCGTTTGCTTTGTTATGTTAATAATAATAGGAATAAGTATCTTACATTGTTCTTTTTTAAAAAATTTGGCAGATGTTAATTTCAAAACTGGAGAAAAACAAAGCAATGAAGTCTGAAGATAAAGCAGAAATAATGAAAACATTAGAAGTTTTGACAAAAAATATTACCAAGTTGAAAGATGAGGTCAAAGCTGCTTCTCCTGGACGCTGTCTTCCAAAAAGTATAAAAACCAAGACTCAGGTATTTTAATTTTATTATTTATATTACTACTTAAAAAAACATTAAAACACTACATTGTTTAAGATACATTTTTCTTTTTTAGGTAATATTCTTTGCTCAAAATCCGACCATTGTGTGCTACCATTTTCCCCTTCCTCCATTAATAAATAAACAAATAAATACAAACAAGTAAACTCTACTAATCTTTTGAATCCTGTGGATTACAGTTGGAAAGTCAGTAATTAGAATGGTTATGGATAATCTTATAAAGGTAGCTTAAAGACAAGATGATATAGGTACTATTGTAGAATATTTGAGGAGTTTGAGCTTTATTTTGTAAGGAGTTGTGGTCTAAGATGTTAACGAACAGAGAAGTAACATTCTGACAGCACTGTACAGAATGAACTTATTGCAAAGGGGGGAAATTCAGGTAGATTAACCCATTAGATACCAATAAGTGTACAAGTTCATTTCAGATGGTAATAAGTGACTAAGAAAAAAACACAGTATTATACAATATTTATACTTGGTGTGTGTGTATATGTAAAAAGTCATGAGTTCATATTGATACTTCTGATTCTAATCCAATCCCACAGTGTTCTTTCTTTTCTCCTTCCATGTTTTATCTTCCTGTTTCCATAATGACAACTTGGTTCCCACTAACATCAGTACAGTATTCATTTGCTCAGTCCTGTAATACATTGCAAATAGTCTCAGAATTGCTACAGCAATACCACTTCAAACAACTAACTAAATATAAAATTTAGAATTTATTTGCATTCTTTATAATCTCACAGTATATTCCACTGAGGGTATAGAGTGAGAACTGTGGCCTGGGATTACTTTTTGTCCTTTTGTGTGGTTATATTATTAATCTGATAAAGGTAGGTGTATTTCTGTGTATTCAGTTTTGGACCTCTCCCCCCTTTTCCCCCCAATTCTTGCTAATTGTATTTTATTTTTTTTGAATACATGAAACATTAATATGATTCAAAAGTTAAACTATAAAAAGGTATGTATAGAAGACCTTTCTTTGATTCCTGACACCTCTTCCCTGCTCTTCTCTCCTTGGTGTGTGTATGTGTATTCTTTCCTACATAAAAGCATACTGTGTATTGCTTGTTAACACCTTGGTTTTTTGTTTTCTTTTCACATTTATTTCCTGAAAATTACTTTATATCTGTTTATAGAAATCTCACTCTTGCTTCTGTACAGAAAATGAATTATAGGGAAATCAGTAGAAGTAGGAAGAAGTTAGGAAGCAAGTGCAGTAGTGTAGACCCGAGGTGATTGATGGCTTGGACTAGGGCGGTATGACTGGAGATAGAGAAGAAATGTACAGATTAAATAGGGAAGTGTAAAAGTTCTTTGTAAAAAAGTTTTGTATAAATGCAGGAAATTAGTTGTTGTCACCTACAGTATTAATTACTATTTTCTAGATGCAGAAAGAATTGCTTGACACAGAGCTGGATTTATATAAGAAGATGCAAGCTGGAGAAGAAGTCACTGAACTTAGGCGAAAGTATACAGAATTACAGCTCGAGGTATGTTTCATCACAGCTCCACAGTGTGCTAAAGAGGGGTGGCTGTAGTTGTGGTTAATTTGGAAATATATTCCCCTCATTCTAGTCAGCGATTCTTGGCAGTCTCTGTCAAACGTATGAGAGTTGATACGGGAAAGAGGGAAGAGGTTAATAAATTTTTCAGAGCCAGTAGAGAAAAGATTTAATGAGGGGTAGCAGCAGTTCTATCTGTTGACCTGAGTCCTTCTAATTCTAGTGAAGTTTGTTCCTTCCTATTTTTGAGTTATCCTTCCCCCCAGACCAAAATTTATTAAAAGCTTTTCAGGTATTCTTATGGAGATATCCTGTGCATAAATAAGCAAATTATTTTACTTTGAGTTCTCTAACAATCAGACTTAATAGTGGTAGAACTATATTGAAGAACATGCTTACTTAAGTTTTGCCTATAGATGGCGCTGTGGATGTTTATAAAAGAGAAAGTAAACTACTTTCTTATAACTTAGTCATGATTATATAAGAAAATCAAGTGAAGTTGATTCCTATACATGAGAATTTTTAACATTTAGCAAAAAGGTGTTTAAAAATCAGAATAGCATTTTCAAGTACAGAGACATTAATGTACTTGGGGCTTGTCTATATCATTGCTTGATGCCACAATTTAATTTTTAATATTAATAATATTTTAGATGATTACTTTTGCTTGATCTAAGAAAAATACATTTTCCCAAATTTGTTAGCACTTGATCACCTTTTTCCGACATAGTACAAATCTATATTGAGTACTGGCATCCAGATATGAAAGACTTAACATTTAGCACCTACTGTACTGGTCTTAAAGCTCTGTGTTATCTAACAGTCATAGGAAGCCATAGGGTGGTGTCCTAAACCTGCACACCTTTTGTATTCTCTGGAAACCTGATATGGTTGCCTGTGTGTCCTGCCCAAGATGACAGGTTTTGAAAAAGACAGACTTATGTTAATATAGAACTGTTTTTCCTGTTCTGGAGATTTCATGCCTGTGTTGTGGGATTTTATAAAACAAATTATCATTTAAAAAATTTTAGCACATAATTTTAATAAATAATATTACCAGTGTTGATTATTGGTAAACATATAGTCTTATGTTTTGGTTCTTTATCATGATATAGCTTAACAATGAGTAACATTTTCTGTTGGGTTTTTTTTATGAATGCTAAACTTTAGATTGCAGCCAATATATGCAGTAATGCAGTGCTTTCCAGAGTGTGGTCATGTATACACCCATTACATTTTTTGTTAACAGATATTAGTGAAAAAAGTTTGGAGGCCAAATAAATTTGGAAGTTTTTATTAAACATGATTGTTTACTCTAGGGTTTTTAGAGGCTTTTAATTTGTGAATCTCGAAAAATATGTATTGTTCAGTATTGCTCAAGCTTATTTGTCCACGGATTCCCTTTCCAGGGAATATTTTTTTTCCTCAGAGTATACTTTTATATATGCTGCTGTTATTAACATTAATCCTTGACCTTTGAACTTTATTATTTGGATTTTAGATTATTTTAGCTAATGTCAAGATATCTTGAGATATTTATACTTGCAGAGATTTGGCAGTGGTGCTTGCTTGGCATCTCCACTTGGATGTTTCACATCCTCAGACTCAACATGTTCAAAATTGTGCTTGTTTTGCCCCTAAACTCCATCTACACAGTTACACCAACCAAAAACCTGAGAGTCTTCAATGATTCCTCCCTGTCTTTCAGTTTTCATATCCAATTAACTGCCAAGTTTTATCCATGTTACTCCCTAATGGATCTTACATGCATTTGTTTCTCTCTCTCTTCTTTGCCCCCACTGTACACTAAGCTTCTGTCTTCAGTTTCTAGGGTTACTGTCGTAGCCTACTGACTAGTATCCCAGCTTGTTCTCTTCTGCCTTCTACTCTGTTCTTAAAACTCTAGCCAGAATAACATTGTAAACCCTGATTTGATTACATCACTCTACTTCTCTGCTTTAAATATTTTAACTGATTTGCATAGCTCTTGGGATAAAATTCAAAATCCTGAATGTGGTCCTTAAAGTTAATCATGATCTGGCTCTGCCTGTCTCTCCAGCCTCATCTCTGCATTGCATGTGGTCCAGCTGCACTGGATTTTATTTGTTCTTTGAAGTACCACGTTCCTTTTCAGCTTTGGTTCCTTTGTTCATGCTGTAATCCCCCAATGATGGGGATACTGTACAGAATAAAATGGGGGTGGGAAGATCCTCATGGAACTTTCATTCTAGTAGTTTATTTATTATAAATCTTAGTGTTCAGTGCGGATCTTTAATGTTCTATAAAATGTTTAGGTAAAGCATTTCCTCATTTTTTGAGTCACTTTTCATGAATAAAATCAAATAACTTAGTTGCTTAAGGTCTCATTACTCTGCTAGTATTTGAGTTTCATGAGGTAAGGACTTGCACATAGGAAGCAGAAGTCCTTAAATATTTGTGGAATGAAGGAATGGTGTGCTATTCACATAGACTGATGTGGAATATAAGTTACTATGGGACATTGGTTGTATAATGATATTACTGTAAGTGAACAAAATGATGAATTTGAGACAACTACCTATTGAAGTCAATAGGGAAACAAACAGAAACACTTTGAAAGTCACAAATAGGAAAATACATTTATTGTATATATAGGTATTTCGTGTCTATGTATTAAACTGACTTCTGAAGTAATACTTAACACTATTATTTTGAAATCAAGAATTGCTGGTCTTTTTGTGATGCAGTCTTAGAGAGTAAGAACATAGTAGAAAAAGCACATTTAATAATTTGAAAACATTGCTTAAATTAATGGTTTTTTTCTAAATTCATTAGCTACCTAAATTTGCTTGTATTTTCAAAAATAAAACCCCAACTTAAATTATGAGATCCTTTTATAGGGCATTATTTGAATACGATATCAAATTGAATATGATATCAAAATGTATAAAAGTTTGACTCATCTGGCAAAGTAGAACCCTTGGCGTATGTTAGTAATTGTTTTGTGTAACCTATGGGTCTCATTTCTTCCAGGCTGCAAAACGGGGGATTCTTTCATCTGGTCGGGGCAGAGGAATTCATTCAAGAGGTCGAGGTACAGCTCATGGCCGAGGCAGGGGTCGAGGTCGAGGTCGGGGTCGAGGCGTGCCTGGTCATGCTGTGGTGGATCACCGTCCCAGGGCATTGGAGATTTCTGCATTTACAGAGAGCGATAGAGAAGACCTTCTTCCTCATTTTGCGGTACTTTCTTACTGCCCAACAAAAGAAATACTGATAACTATTGTTGGGGATAATGGATGTGTTAAAGGAGAAATTATGAAAATGACATGAGTAATTTAAACCCATTAATCTGACTGAAGAGTTTGATTAATCTGTAATAATCTTTTGTTAATTATTTAAAAAGCAAACTGGAGGGTGTTTTGTTTAATTATTATCTGAAAGAAAAGTCACAATTCTTACACTTAGTAGACCTTTCAGGTATTGTGAAATGAATGATTTAAACTATTGTTTTAGAGAGGGAAGTCCTATAGTTTCATTTGATATTTACTTTTAAGGAAAAATTAAACACATTGCATGGGGCCATCCAGATTTTATTTATTTTTTTATTAAGATGGAATTTTATTTGTTAATATTGTATTTTTGATCTAGCCAGTCTAGAAATGAAACAGCTACTGGTCCCAATGGATAAAAATTATAGTTTAAAATTTATAGAGCACTTATTTTATGGGAGGTATTATTCTGAGTGCCTTATATAACTCACTGTGTTATAAGTTAGTTGATTATGAGGTAGGTACCTTTATTATTTACAGTTAGGGAAAATGAAGCATAGAGAGATTAAGTAACTTATTCATTTTTGAATAGTAACTTGACAGAGCTGGCATCTAACTGATCTTAGAGTCCATTCTCTGTGCTCTACAGAATTTTCCTGTGGGGTGGGGGAGAGGGAGGGGGAGAGGGGAGAGAGGAGAGAGGGAGGAGAGAGAGAGAGGTGTGAGAGAGAGAGAGAGAGAGAGAGAGGGAGGGAGGGAGGAGAGAGGGGAGAGAGGAGAGAGAGAGAGAGAATGAATTTAATGAGATTGTGGAATTACAATTTTATTTTGGGGTAGCACAGACGGAAGGTATTAGTAACGACATATAAAGGACTAGATTTTTATATGATAAATGTTGCTGTTTGTAGAAAAATCTTCCTACACATGTAAAACAAAAAACCCAACAAACCATAACAAGCATAATTTAATATGTTTATCTTGCAAATGTCCTAGAAGGGTGTGTTGTCTAGTGTGTTGTCTAGAGGAGCCTATAGTAAGAGTGAAAGCAGGTCAGTTAGTGTTAAACTTTTGAATCAGAAGACCTGGATTCTCATCCTGATAATTAATTACTTTGGATAAAAGGACTTAAGTTCTCTTACTGTCTCCCATCTTTAAATTGGGAATGATACAAAAAAATTCAAAACATTCTGAGGATTAAATATTCTGCTTTCGAAAGAATTTAGCATATTCTGGGATCAGAATGAGTATAAAAGACAATAAGGAAGCTCTGTCTTTGACCATTGTTTTTCTTTATTTAAAAAATAGTTCAATCAAGTATAAGTTTCCCTAATTCTAGAAAGTGTAGAATTGTAAACAGTCTCGGAAGATCTTATAATACCAAGTACTAAAATGAATTATTTTCCACTTTTTTCTGTTAATCACCATGAATTGTTATGTATTCTCATTATATTTATTGGTATTTTAATATTTTAAAAACCATTAGGATTTTGGATGTTTCAAAATATTTATTTGGAGGAAATACTTGTTTTTAATTTAAAGCAATATGGTGAAATTGAAGATTGTCAGATTGATGACTCTTCACTTCATGCAGTAATTACCTTCAAGACAAGAGCAGAAGCTGAAGCAGTAAGTACTACAAATCAAATTCATTGAAGATCCAGATTGAAATGTTTTATAAATACTGCTTTTTAGTTTTAATATAAATGAATTTTTTTTAACTTACTAATTAACTACAGTTTGACAGTAGATAGAATACATGAAGTGGAATTCGTGGCCTCAAAGAATGTCCTAAAGCAGTTAGGCAACCCTGTATATAATGTGATGTGATTCGAACATATAGTCATCAAGTTGTATTGTCTTGAGACACCAGGAATTCTTTTCTTTTCTTTCACAGGAGATAGGGCCGCTCCACTTCCCATTACCCTTTTTCTCACATGGCCCAGAACAAGGTCTGCTTTGGCAGATCGAGTGGTGAGGGATGAGGGAGAAACAGATGTAACCCTGGTGGCTGCCCTTCTAAGCCATCCTTCATCTGCTGCTTCCTAGTTCCAGTTGGCCAACCCCAAAAGAAGTGTCCCTTATTCAGCATACCCCAGCTAGGTTTCTGCAACTTTTTGCCCAAGACGTGAGAGATAGCTCTAGCTTTTAAGTATAGTTTTGTTATAAACTATTATATGTATCTTGAATTGTGTTTCCAAAGAATGACAAGAAGTAAATGCAGCCTTGTCTTTCTTCTGGGTTTAAAAGATTAAAAAAGGAAAATGGGTGTAAAGTGTGGGGATTCATAGAAACCTTTTTAGCCCTGTGTGTTCTTTGTTCAGGATTGCAGAGAAAGAGATGTACCATATTGTCCTTGGGGAAAATGCATTACATGTTCCAAACAGTTAACCTAATGTGAATGGACTAGTTGGCTAGTTTTCAGAATTTTTAAGTTCATTGAGGTTGACTGTGGTCTAAAGTTTCAAAAAACCTAAAAATTTATCCTCTCTGTAGTAAATACTCCCTGGCAGCACAGTGGTAGATTGCTGGAGGCTTAGGAGTTGCTCTTGGGCCGTTGTACCAGTAAAACACTGTGGGTTTGGTAAGTCTCAGAAAAGTGTTCAGCTGAACCCTGGCATAACCTAGTTTCTAGGTCAGTGGGGTGAGTAGTGGATAGTTTTATAGACTAGGAATTCCTTATCCTCCTTTTGTTTTTTAAGTCTAGTTTTGAGTAATATGTCATTTAAAGATCTTTTGTGAAAGTGAAAAGTAATTTATAATTGATGAGAGTTTAAAACTTTCTTATAAACTTATGTGTAAAGGTGTCATTGAAAAAATAGATTTTTGATCAATTTTCTCTCGAAGGTATTGTTGAGTACAAAAATAAGCTTCCTTTACATGATGGCTTCAGTGATAATTTTCAATGTAATGTTAGATAGGTAACTGAATACCATCTCTTTATGTTCTGTTTGTTTCCTAGGAAGTAGTCATATAAATATAACAATAGTAGTTATTGTACCAATGGTTAAAATACTGTATCATCAAGTTTGTGGATTTAATAACAACTTTAAATATATATATATATACTACTTTCTGTATATTTATTTGGCTGAGGGGGAAAAAATCACCTCTTGCCTTTTAAATAATTCTTGGAAATTTTGCTCTTGCTGAGGCTTTATTGACATAAGCCATCTTTCTTGGACCTTGCTTTTCCACCTCGCGGGTGTGTGTGTGTGTGTGTGTGTGTGTGTGTGTGTGTGTGTCTGTGTGTATAAAATGCTGAATTACATTACATCAAGGTTGAATAAGTGACAAAATAGGTTAAGTTAAATCTAATGAAGTTAGTTACCTTTTAGTTGGATTTCTCAAACAGGATGAAAGGAAAACTACCATTGCTACGTTAAACATTTGAATTAAGTTATAAAAGTTGTTAAGCCATAAACATTTCCTTAAGCAAAAAAGTTTCTTTAGATTTTGTAACATTCTATTTTAGAAGAGAATAGGAAATTCAGGTGAAGCTTATCTTATACAAGCAGAGTATAGGCTAAAGCAGTGGTTTTTAAACTTCTGGGTTTTAGGGAACATTAAGGTTTAGAAATTTAAAAATTAGTGTGTTTGACATAGGGGTGCCAATTTTTAATTTTGTCAAGGAAGATTGCTTAAAAAGTACAAAAAAGATTGCATTTGCCATCGCCAGCATAATGTAAAATAAAGGAAAATATAATAACAAAATGTAGGAACATATAAAGTCAAGGTAAAGGATAGACCTTCCCAAGAAACTTGTCAACTTTTGCTAATGTTTATTTCCAAATATTTCATTTTTGTTATTTTCTGAACCATTGTCCTAGATGATTGGATAACTGCCTCTATTTTATATGATCAGTGGATGCATAGTATTTCAAAGTGAAAATATAGTAGTAAGGTAATTGAGACATTGAAATATGACCGAAAAGTGAGAAATTCCCCCCAGGAAAGAGATTGAAGTATTTTAAGGAATAATAATGTGAACAGAACACTTTTATTTATTTATTTATTTATTTATTTATTTATTTATATTGTTAGTTTCAGGTGTACAGAACAATGCAATAGCTATCCTTTTCACCCTTCACACAGAAACAACCCACCTCCCACATCTACTGCCCTCCCACCCCCGATATACTTATCTATTACAATTCCATTGACTCCATTCCCACACTCTACTCCACGTCCCATGAATATATGTATATATAATTATAGTTGACATAACATTATTATTCAACATCAGCTTCAGAAATACAGTGCGGTGGTCAGGCCTCTACACCGACTATGAAGTGGTCTCTCTAACAAGACATGAGTCCATCTGGCCTCCTAAAAAATATTTACAACATTATTGATTATATT